ACCCCGTTCTCCATTGCAGTGAAGTTACCCATCACAAGCACTATGGTCATGATCATTCCATTCTACAGAGCAGCCATACCCTCACACATTGAGGCCCCATAGCAATGTCCACTCTACAGTGCAGCCATACCCTCACACATTGAGGCCCTATAGCAATGTCCACTGCAGCACTCAATACAACTGAGTACATGTACTGGAGGGTGAACTTATCACCCCATTCTCCATTGCAGCCATACCTCTACACACACTGTGACAGTCATGGAGTCATTTTCACCCCATTTTCCCGTGCAGCTATACCTCCACACACTGAGCAATCTCCAGCAGCAATCTTCAATGCATGTACTGCTGCTTAGCCACTTGCTCGTCCTACAACCGAGCACTGGAGAGATCACCCCATTCTCAATTACAGCTACACCGTGCCTTCACATATTGAGGAGATACTGCAATAGGCTCCACTGCACTGGTGCTTAGAGTTACTCACTAGCTACACAACGGAGGAGCACCGGAGAGTGGAGTGATCACCGCCCACCCCACACTACATTGCAGCAATACCTGAACACATTGAGATATTCATCAATCTCCGCTGCTGCTTGCTGCTTATCCACTTGCTACAAGGCAACACTGGGGTGATTACAATGATAATGTTCTCCACTGAAGTAATGTTGAAATAGCTCTCACTACGGATCATGTTCACTGATGTCTATGACAGTGTTACCCAGGCCAGGGGCAAGTCGTTCATCTCCTTCAGGCTATGATAATCAGGACACAGTGAAGAGCCTACTTGCATGGCACTGACATGCTGCTATCATACCCAGCAGTCTGGCGCATACACAAGGGGAGGGGGGGTATTATTAGGGCTGAGTCGGGTAGCATTTTCTTCGGGTATTGGGTTCCGGTAGTTTTCCACGGGTATTACAGATGTATGTACTCGTATTTATTTTATACGACCTCATACCCAGTACCAAGTTCAAAATACATGAACTGCACGTCCAAAACGAAGTCGTATTAGTTTGACCCATATGTCCAGTCTCCAATGCGGAGAAGACGCCATTCACCACCATATTCCGGCACACATTCCTTCTCGTCACAAAGACTAATCACACAGCATTTTTTGGAGTCACAGGACAAGTACGTACCTATCCCGGTTTGACATCTGTCAGCATGCTGATTAGTACTTAAACTGTGACCACCACATGCACAGCCAAATCAGGCAGTGGCAGTGATGGGGTTGAGTGACGGACCAGCGTACATGTACATTGTCTACCAAGCTTATCTCCCATCTCCCTTTGTGAACCACAGTTGCCTTCTCCATACACCATACACAGTGAGGCTATGTAACATGATACCTCCGTGCTGCTTGTCAATGTTGCTATTGAGCTATTTTCTTCCCGCAACATAGCCACTTACGCAGGACTCCATGCCAGCACACAATGCACCGAGTGTCAGTTACAATTATGCTAAGCAGACCCAATTCTTGGCAACCGCCCACAGGACAAGAGGGGCTGATACACCAGCCTACATTCTACGTCACTTCACTTCGATGCATGGACATTGAGCAACTCCGTTTGGCATGGATCTACTTTTGTGCCTCAAGTGCCGTCAAATTGCTACCAATCACTGGTCTTCACATATCACTATATGGTCTAAATCTCTGCTATTGACAGCCTGCCATGGGCTAAGTTCCTGTGGAAATCACCCCTGATGGGGCGCGCACTTTCCTGTTGCCCGTTTAAGATAGTGTTGTGATGCGGCAGCAAGTTAAACAAACCACTGACTGTTTAAACGGTGTCACTAGAAACCACCAGAATAGCACCATTTTGCACAGAGCAGATGTTGACATGGCTGACGCTCTCAGTGTTCATCTCAGACAACTGTTTCTATGCGTATGCGTAATAAGTTACTAATAACTGACACCACTGATACCGGACAGTGATAGAGCATGGAAACAGCTGCTTTCTATCCAATAACATCAGCTGGCTGTTGTACGCTGGTACTCATTACACAAGGAGTGATACAATATGGATGAGTAATATGAAACCGATTAAATTTTAGTACTGGGAACTCGACCAAATATTATTATCTCAGCACAGGAATTTACTGTCACAATTTATAGCAATGTACGATCGACTAAGTCCGAAAAGAGAGGTTGAATTCTGATATGACGTGGGCTTTTCGTTTTGGGTGCACATCTGCGTGCGTGTGTGTGTGTGTGTGTGTGTGTGTGTGTTTGCATGTGCGTGTATTCACTAGGCATGCAACCGGCGATTACCAGGCCCGCTGGAAGCAGACTCTTGGATTGGACCGGCCATACCCTAGTCTTTCATACAGTTTGTGTATGATATATAGCAGGTCTGCACATACTGTCTTCAGTAATAAACACATGTTGACGGCCAACAAGTAACTAGTTGGTCCGGCCGGTGAGGATCCAACCAACCACACCGCTACTGTAAGTCTACACATTTTCGACCCATTCAAATTTTTTCGGCTTCCCAGGGCTAAAACACATTTCAGCCGCATCAAATTTTCGGCCTGTACTGCTGCCGCCTGTATATACTGTCACACTGAATCTTGCAAAACAAAATTCGACCACACCAAATTTTCGCCCAAACATAACCAGGCCGAAAACCCATATGCGCCGAATTTTTGTTGACTTGCAGTAGGTGCTACCACAACTACAGCATGGGGTGATTCTACAATGAACATTCACTTACCTCTCCAAAGCGTCCCTTGCCCAGTCGTTCGCCAAAGCGTAGCGATGTGACGGGAATCTCCAGGCCTTCCAGGGACGCATGCTTCTGACGCTCCCAGAGAAGACATTGCTTGACGAGACGCAGCCGAGACAGGTCCGCTTTCTGGGGACATGTCAGGTTTTCTCCCTGCCAAGCGTGTACACAAGAGAGAAGAGAGAGAGAGAGAGAGAGAGAGAAGAGAAAAGATTGAGAATTTCTCGTAATTGTTTCACGCTTCACCAATTGAGTTGGCATAGTTCAGCAGGCGCATAGCCGCTATTGTTTCCAGGTTGCCCAGAACCCCATCCCCCCCCGGGTGCAGAGCAGACGCTGAATACAAAATTCTTAGATGTGAATGAAGTGCAACACCATGACAGTGGCAATGGAGGGGTGTGTAGAAACAATCGGATTTTTCGGCCAACAGGGCACGTTTTAACGTTCCACAGGCGCTCTGGGCGGACCATCCTGGACTGGGCGGACCATCCTGGACGAAAAGTGGTACGACTATGGTCGTACCATGTGTGACGCTTCTATAATGTGAAGTCCCGGATTGGACCTCTCAGAAGTTTGGAATTTGAAGGTTCCCTAAAGATTTTTGCATGGGCTCTGCCCCTTTGGCCCCTGCCGATGTTAGGATAGGTGCAACGGGGAGGGCTATGTCAAGGTAGGAATGCATACAATGTATGCATTTCTATCCTGACACCGAGGAACCCCCCCCCCCCCCCCCCCCCCCGGATCCCCATCCGGCTACGCGCCAGAACTGTTGTCCCGACGGAGTGGTTCTGACAGGAATACGAACAGAATTGCAATATGAAGACAGTTAACTGACCAACACATAGCCAGCAATCGCATGTCACCACGTACTTTGAAAATCAACATAATTTTTCGAATCGACCTTTTTTTCCGGATCACTTTTCAACGAGGACGAAGCAAAGTCGGCCGAACGAAGCCTAGAGGAAGAAAATCACCCTCTCCACTTCACCATCACGATACTGACATAGATACGAGATGAAACAACTAAAAAATCCACAAGAAAACTGTATGGCCATCATCGCGCTGACTTTGGTCTGACTTTGGTCTGAGAATTTCTATCACGATCAAAAATGTACGAGGAGCACTCAAAAATAAGCCACAGACGTACCTTTATCGCTCTCTACTCCTTTTTCAAGGCACAAAAGTCGACTCTCCACTTTCAAACCAGGAACCAGACATACCAGTGGTCCTTTTCAGCTGCTCCACGAGCGCAGGAAATGTTCACCAAGGGGCGCAGAGCAGCATTCATTCCAGAAAAAGAGCTAAGATACGAGTGAGACTGCATGACTGAGTACATGAGTACATGAATGAGTACATGCAGAAAATAGTCAATTTCAGCGTTTCTGCTCCAAAAAGCAACTAGCTTCGAGTAGAAACAAAGATTACACCAAAGGATCAAACAACAACCATTTTCTGCAGTTTTTTTTGCAGATGGCTTCCTTGTGCTTGGCCCAGCACGTCAAAAATCACACCTCGGAGGAGTACAAAAATTACAACTCTCAGATGTCCTCGATTGCTGGCCATGATTCCCGATCCTGGATGCCCCTCTCCCCATGCACAACCAAATCCGTGTTGACACAGAGGTGGTAGTTCCTTGCGTGTCTAAATCTGTCCCCAGCTGGCGAGGTAAACATAGACGCAAGGCATTCCTTATCTACATGACTTTGTTTGCAGAGGAAAATTGCAGTGTGGAATCTAATATGTAAAGAGGCGGTGAGGTGACAACAGTTTTAGATCTGCGATCAAGCAAACGAGCTGAACCGACATTTCACAAAGACTTTATTATATTGAAAAAGAACTAGATATGAGGGCGGGGAACAACATGGAAGGAGAAACTTCGTATCCAGTTCTTTCCGAGTACAATGAAGCCTTTGTGAAATGTCGGTTCAGCTCCGTCTCTTGATCGCAGTGGAATCTGAATTGTATCTAGTATACTAGTACACTGCGCCTGACAAGCACAGCTCTTGCAGCATCTACTGCTCCTTTGTTGTCTTTGTCTCTTTCATTACCCCCATTATTTTGCAGGGATGTGCACAACTCAGTCAGCAAGCCACTATAATGCTCCCGGGCGCGTTCAGACTGGCGTAAAAAACAAGCGGAACGTGAAAGTTGTCAAGGTGAATCGCTCACGTGACGTTCCCGCCAGCGTAAACACGGAAAAGGTTTCCCACCACTCTGCAGGCCAGTGGAATGCAGATTCCGGCGGCACGCGGAGCGCTTTTGATATCCTTGCAGCACATGTTCCGTCTTTTCGTTTTATTTCAGCCTCTACTCTTGCAGTCTGACTGCATGCTTTTGAGTTTTGAGTTTTGACTTCTAGGCGGCCAACTTCTCCCATCATGCCGACATCTTTGTTCGACTCAGCAATGGAGAGGGAGTTCATGGAGCTGTACGTGGTGATTTTTGCGGGCCGCTCTGCAGGCAAAACGTTACTGCGAACGAGAAGCATACTCTGATCGCGGAGCGGATGAATTCCACCCAAGCACCAAACACTCCGGACATAGTATTCTTTCCGTCGACAAGCACAAGCAAAAGAATTAGTTTATTTTGATATCCAACTCAAACTGAGTCAACTCAAATTTTTCAAATGTCGAGGCTTCACATGTACTGGCCGTTCCAGCGGGATACACGTGCAGTGTGATTGCGATTCCCGGGATTACGCTGCAGCTTTCCGGCGGCTATTCACGTCAGTCTGAACGCGCCCTTAGAAACATTCTTGCCGACAAAGAAATAATAAATAATTTTGGGTTTTCTGAAACAAAATCTCGTCGTAAGTATTACACCAGTGGCTATGTCCGAAAACTGTCATTACCACGATTACGCCGGGTGTCTAGTGAATACACATGTACATTTTTGCAGAAGAAGTAATCATGATTATTGACAACTCTCTCTCTCTCTCTCTTACCGGAGATTTCGAATCTGGAGCGAATCCAGCACACTGCAGTGTTTCCAATGAGCCTGGCTCAGCCAAGATCTGAACAACATCAACAAAAATTATGAGACAAGACCGTACAGTACAGCGTTATGGCAAACCGTTGTAGACATTTTTGCGATGGAAATTTCACGAAACTGCCGCAGTCACGAACGACGGGGGATCGAATCTACGAGAAACTTTACAAGGTAGCTTACCCCTGTTTCGCCCAAACAGTGCAGGGTAGCGAATAGCATCCATTGCGCCAAACATAGCTGCTATGCCTGGCTTCCATCACAGTTCAAATAATTAATTATCAATTCGTCGTTCAGAGTAGTGTTCAGAGCTAGAGCAGTACTACTAGAGGAGTGTTGAGGATTGATGGAAATCCCGTTCGAAATAATTTTTCTCATTTTTCAATCGTCCACCAGGCGCATGCGCAGTGCAGGACCACCATGGCATTTAGTCATTCCACAAGTGCACTTGCACCGCAGAGTTCGTTATCGATCGTGCAATGGATAGGGTATTCCCCATCGTGTTGGTCCCACATCACTCAGTGAATCAGTCATCTGGTCATCAATCATGCCACCATGCATATGCATGGCATGGCGCCCGGGCATGATCATGATGGGTCTGGGGCCCTGTCGAGAAGTATTACAATTTTTGTAGTTCAAGTAGAGTTTACGATGTACGGTCATTATCATACAATCATGTGCATGCAGGTACGTGGTCATGTTTGATGTTGTTACATGACTGTATCAGAATTCAGATGTATGCGATAATCTGATAATAGGTTGTCAATATCCGTTTCTGAGTATGATGCGCTTTTGTATGGGGACAAGTCATATCGCTGCTTTGTGCAGCCCCACTTTGTCCTTTCATAATTATCTTCCGTACTCAGGCACTGCTCGCTCTACAAGTCCTTTCCTTTACTCCAGACCAGAGTCTAGCAGAGAACGCTTATGAGTAGCTACAGCTACATATGTATGTGGGTGTAACGATGATGATGGTGATGATACTCTACGTACATGTACATCTACCTTCCACTGGCACGGTCTGTTTAGTGTTGGTCCATGATCAATCACTGGGGATTGAATATGCCAGGGCACTGGCCGGGTAATGTCATAAGCCGGGTGTCTAGGGTTTGGAGTCACTGGGGAGCTGGGGGGGGGGGGGGGGGAGTACTTAGACAAACAGGAGAGAGAGAGAGAGAGAGAGAGAGAGAGAGAGAGAGAGAGAGAGAGAGAGAGTGTGTGTGTGTGAGAGAGAGAGAGAGAGAGAGAGAGAGAGAGAGAGAGAGAGAGAGAGAGAGAGAGAGAGAGAGAGAGAGAGAGAGAGAGAGAGAGAGAGAGAGAGAGAGAGAGAGAGAGAGAGAGAGAGAGAGAGAAGAGAGAAAGAGAGAGAGAGAGAGAGAGAGAGAGAGAGAGAGAGAGAGAGAGAGAGAGAGAGAGAGAAGCGAAATTGTCTCCAGTTATGTCATAGCATGACTCTGTTATGTTGACGTGCCAACGACTAGTGCAAGTCAATGAAGTATTTCAGATCAGAGCACCTAGACAAGAGGACACTGATAGCTACATGTATACCACAACGCCTGACAAAATTTAATGTGCGCATTCGATAACTAGGACAGTTGCAACCTTTTTGCAGCTTTGCCTTGGGTGGCTGACTACTAGTACAGCTTTTGTGCCTATGTGGTTGGTTGCTGGGACTTCGATGCGTCTCCCTTCCAAGTATCATTCTCTTAGTTGACTCCATTGATTGGTAAGCGGTTCCCACACGTACACACACAGCTGAGTGCAATGATTGGTAGCGACTTTCCACATTATCCCGACTACTTGCTAGCTGCGTTGTGGGAGCCCCGAAGCGCTGACTGACTGCAGGGTTCCACTAGCAATGGACACGTTTGGTAGTTGATCAACGAGTGAATGAAATACTTCGAGTACGAACAGCAGAATATCACTACGTCTTTACTTACGGATGACACACGGCGAATAGTCCTGAAACGCTCGTCCTCCGGATAGCTGATGATGTTTTGTAGCAGCTTGACCAGAATGAAGCTGGTTTTCAGAAATTCCTCCTCTTTGCCGCCCGACAGCCGGGCCAGAGCGGACTTCAGCTTGTCGTCGACTTTCGCCCCACCGGGATACAGATCAGCATCCACGTCCATTGTGTAGTATCAGCAGCTGATCACCGCAGTGGTGGCCAAGCCGTGACCGGACAAGCGAAGCAAATGGCTGTTGGCTGCGTGAGCTGTGGGCTAGTTTGCAAGCAGTGCCATGCGTGTCTGAGTGACTACCGCTTGCTTCTCATGTCTTCCTTCACCAGACACGCACACGGATGTAACACAGCGACACACTGCTAACACCCCTAACGCAATGAACTAACTCCCTTCAGTACGAACACCAGGTAGTGATGCTGGTGGGGTCTCTCGCCTCCTACGCACCAGTTTTGATACTAACGCGATAGCGCCGAGCTCATTAATTCCCCCCTTTGCTAAATTGCGAAACTTTTCAATGTGCAAAGGGAAGATAGATGAGGGTAACCTCTTCACAGGGCCTAGCAGCACAATGCCAGCGATGCAAAATAATAATGAGGTCTGTGTACTGGCACGCCACGACCCAGCAGAATTAGTTTCTTACAGGAGGAGTGCTGCTGTGTATGGCGACCGGGCCGGCCAACGTGCGCATCGTGGTCTAGACTATCGGCTGGCATGGCAGCCCGGCCTGGTATCCATCCTCCCAATGAAATCCTGAAAATCCTGAATTGAATGCTATCAGTGTATGCAGCCAGTAAACAGTATAGACAATGATATTTTGTACAGTATGTACATGTGGCAGTTTGCAGCTTGTCTCACTAGACACAACACCACACCGCACGCGACAAGCGCGCTACAGAGTACAGTCCGGATTAGGCCAGCGACTCACGACTCATGCGCCGTCTCACACCACACGTCTAGCTCTGGCTGTCAAATTTAACAGCTGACGATGATTGGCGCCAACGCGGCCGCAGAGCAACATATTTTTTCCATGCACTTCCACGGGTGCGGGGAGTCGGGGACGTGGTTGGTTCCAGGTTTTCCAGAACCGTCTCTTCTAATGCGTGGTATACATTATTACACACATGTAATCGCATTGGATCGTATTGAATTACATAGTTGTATTGACTTGCATTGGCGTGTGACACTCACACTGCCACACTACACAATATACACACACTTCTACTGTTCTAGCTACTTCCAAGTACAATGTACTATGTACTAGTATAATTACTGTATTATGTTATGCTGTCTGGTGAGTGTTTCACACGAAACTCCGAGTAATGGCGGAAAAAGAGTTGTTTGCTTCATTGCTGTGTGATCATTTTTATACAGGACAAGGCACGTCGCTTTGCCACCCTGCAAGATCTTCTGTTCACACTTTGCCGGAAATTGAATTAAATGGTTTCTTAGCACGACAGCATAGCAGAGCATAATAATTCTGCTATGAACGCATCATACAGGGGTTACCTAGCCCAACGTATACGTCATCATGTACAGTCATGCACATGTAAGTACATGCAATGGGCTAAGCACGGGGACGCAGGGAGCAAGATGAGACTCATGAGAGTTGAGTGAACACCTTCGGTGACCGCCGAGACAAACCAGGCATGTCGGTGGGCAGAAAAGAGGTGATGAATGCTGAAGTTAGTAACTACATGTACATTGTAATTGCGCTCTGTGTATATGTACATGTACTTGCGCTCTGTGTATATGTACATGTACACAACAGAACAACAAGGACAATCAAGGCTTGTTTGCTGCTACTTTAAGTTTCATGCTTACGCAATCATCAGGCAACATGAAGATCGGGTGCCGACCATGCCGGTATATATGCCAGGAGAGGGTGGTATAAAAAGCTGTGTGAGACTGTGGGGGCTAGCGCAGTAGCGGTGATGTTTTAGGCAGGGGGGCTGTGTGCAGAGTGTGTGGTTGTTGAAGGCAGGGGCTAGCAGTGCAGTGTGAGCGCGAAGTGTGTGGCTGGTGTGGGCAGGAGGTGGTGAACAATGCGTGTGGATGTTGTAGGCAGGAGGCTGTAGAGCTAGCAGTGTGATAATAGCGCAATGTAAATGGAGGTACATGTATATGATTGTAGTCAATACAGTAGCATGGGATGCTTTACATTGCCATGGCATGCAGCAAGACAGAAAGAGGACACATCATGGCATGTAGCAAGACAGAAAGAGGACACATGCTCTTTCTCTGGACACTGCAAATTCACAACTCAGTTCACTGTACCATTATCGACGTTTCAGCAAATTGCCATCATCAGGATAGAATATTGCATCCCGAAAGAGCATGTGTACTCGCCATTCCTCTTTCAGTTATGAAGCTGCAGGATGCCTCACCCCTAGTACTACACATGCAGCAAGACAGGTAGCCTCACAGCACAACCATTATAAGAATGTGAGACCGTCCGTGCCTGGCGAAGTGGTCTGTAGTACCAGGCTGGTCGCAAGTCACGGTGGTCGTTAGTACAGGGTTTACTGTACTTCGCAGTAGACTCCAGAGTTATGCCCACATTGCACTGATGGACCCAGGACAGTCCCTGGTAGGTTAACGCAGATACCCACGGGGACATCCCACACCTGAACACCTTTACATTATTATTTTGGTGTGTCAACCCACCAGCAGTACAGCCATGTCACTAACACTACCCACAGTGGCTATGGTGATCATACCCAGCGATAGATAACTAACAGATAACAGCTGGGTGGCATGTCCCGGCCAATTTTCACAATATTAAATAAATATTATCTCAGACGTGTTTCAGTGACACGTTGATGCATTGGAAGCAGACTGGGAGCCGTAGAAAACGCTTATGCGACTCCCTAGGCCCTGCTTGAAATAACTTTATCTTAGTTTAAGTCTACAATGTTCTGTAGTGTTGATCTACATGTACTTTTAGTACACGTATACATGTATATACATGTATGTAAACTTATAAAGCAATGCAAGTGCAAAGCTGACTGCATGTGTTCGTAGTAGTTCGATCACTCTGACGTTGATGCTTTGAGCTGGTCTGAAAAATGATTTCTGTTTCAGTAGACTTCGTTGCGATCGGTTCGGCCAATGACTTTGAGTTCAGCTGAGAAGACCTTACATTAGTAACAACGTCGAAACAGATATCCGATAGTAAAGCTGTCCGGAGATTGAGTACATGCCGTGTACATAAACATGACTTGTATTCATGTATGTGGTTTACCTAATGCTGTAGACAGCAAGCTGTTTCGGCCACCTACTATCTAGGCCTCATTCGTACAGTACAGTTACGAGCTGAACTACCGGTTTACAATAGTGTACTGAAACCATCACTAACAGTTACACTATCTACAAGCCAGTGCAAACCTCTAAGGACCACCTCCCACTAAAGACCGCTTTCGCTGGTCCCAAGGGGTGGTCGTTCGTCACAGGTTTTACCGTAGATAGCACGAAGAAGATGGACAGGAGCAAAGCTAGACTTCTACTTATGCAAGAACATTTAGTACGATATCCGAATTAATTCAGTTGATCAGAAACCAGGTGCTAGCTATTATGACGTGTGGGTTGTATGACGCCCGCTCAGCTGCCTAGTCTGGCTTGGCTATAACAAATTTAATAAATAAAAGATTCGATCCTATTAGTCCTGGAGCCAGGTCCAGAAATCTGACAGTGCCATTTGACACCTCGTCCAGGAAAGATTTGACTTCAAATTCGGAGAGGCGGACCAACTATAGGAATTTTGGAGAAAACTAGAAGTTCCCAATGTTGTCCGTTTGGAAGTTATGAGCTATTTCCAAATTGCTTAGGTTACTATGGTAACTTGTGTGCAATTAGCCGTTCCTGAGGCAAAGCCGGTACAATTTTGGAGAAAAAAGTTACCTTGTTGGAAGGCGAGCTCTTTCCAAGACTATTATTGAAAACCAGAAGTTTATAGGACTGTCGGCTTCCTTGTCACAGGAATTTCTCGAATTTCTACGGTTACCGTGGTAACGTGTATGCAATTAGCCACTTCTAAGCCAAAATCAGTGCATTTTCTCCCCTGTAGGCAGGTGGAAAGCAGAGAATAGTTATAATATTGTGGCTCAGAGGTCTATTGGGCTTGTTCATGCCTGGTTTGTAGACACTGGGCTCCTCTCCCCTCTAACACTACCGGGATTGCATTGACCTGGCACTTGTTTCCTCCCTTCCTTCACATAATACAATGTACATGTCCATGTAGTACCCAGACAGCGGTGTGCTATGTTGACAGGATTGGTCACCATGATCCACTACTAGTACTTTCCACCCAATTCACATTTTCTTTTTATGGAACAATGTCATGCAGGCTGTCCAATCGACATGTACATGTACATCTTGTACAGATTATCGCCCATTTGTTCGTTCATGCTTAACCTTTCTAGGGGCTCCCGTAAGAAGACCATAGGTCTGTGGGAAACACCCTAGTAAAATAAATAAAATAATAATAATAATAATAATAACATGTTTAGGAAGCACATTGCCCATGAAATACAGTCATGTACATGTACATGTACATGTAGACCGGGGCGGGGCCTACGCCAAGACCTGGAAGGACAATTTTGATCAACGAGATGGCTAATAGACAAACAACTGCCCTAACCGCAACATTTCAACAAACTCCGCCACATATTCCGTGCTCATGTCACGGTCATCCTTCAGCAACTCACAGCAAGCATTTACACAGGAAGGTCTGGTCACATCCCTCTGATCAAGCAACAGTTTCAAAACAGTCCCGGACTGACCCCATGGCCCATGGGGCAGTGACCTCTCCTGCTATCTAGCCGAGCCACTATGAATTCTACACCTAGTACCAAGAGTGTATAATCGGGGGGTTATAACTCTTGCTAGTACCTGTACCAGTACATGTGGCATCATTTCCCTATTGCCTATATTGTAATTACCATTCATGTATTGCGCTTCAGATTTTCTTCCGTTTTTGTCTCTTGGTGCGTTACCGGCATGGCGATCATAGTACTGAGACCTAATGGTCAGTGGAGTGCCTGTAGCCTCACCAGCACTGCTACTATCTGTGACTGTGGCGACCACCATTCAATGTCTCGTCCTCCCCTAACCGTACCCCAACTCTCTCTCTCTCAGCTCTCTTTTTATCTGTCTTTTCTTACTCTTTTTTCTTTGTCAGCTTTCCTGGTGGTTATGTGCTTTTTCAAGTAAATAAAAAAAATAAAATAAAAATTCCAGCACTCACAGATACATGTACATGTACGTGTGCAGCAGTTGTTCACCATCCAACTCGGCTACAAGTGATGCAAATACAGTACAGTACCTGATGCCACAGATTATTCTATGTACATCGAACACCCTGGATGGTTTCACCTGTATACAATCATGTAAATGTGGAGACAGTTATGGCCATAATAATACGTACTACTCTCAACTCCTACAAGCCATATCTCTTGCCAATTGTCAACGTATTGGAGAAAATTGTTGATCGGCAGGTTGTGGAGTTCTTAGTGACAATAGTGAGGTTTCCGCCCTGCCATGGAGCAGTTTGCATACTCCGATCTCTCTCGTCTTCCAAGTCCTGGCATCTCCG